TGGGTACAGGCTCAGTGGTATGGCAAGAGATGTGAGTTAGACTTGCCATTGAGGGGAATGGCACTAACCAAAGTGTCCCTACTCCGCCCCTGGCCCACCTCATGGGCCCAGCTTGTCTCTCTTAGAACCACTGTCTCTTTCTTTAGCCTTCCAGCCCCCAACCTTGAACTTTCTCCTAGCTTCATTTTTCAGTTTTACTTTACTGTCCCCCTTGATTAGGATATTGGGGCTGGCAAAGGCAAGTATTATGCTGTTAACTACCCGCTTCGAGATGGGATTGATGACGAGTCCTATGAGGCTATTTTCAAGCCGGTAAGTAGTTTACCCACCACGTGGGCTACCAACAGGGTTGGTCTGAGGGAGGGGTAGCAGAGCATGCTCACTGTGTCTCAGGAATCTCTCCCCACTGAGAGGCTGGTTGGGAGATGTGTTTAAACCCTGGATTGCATGCTGTGTGCTCAGTTCTGAAAACAAAATTCATCCAAATATTTGTTGATGCCTTCTGTGAGTCAGGCCCTCTGTTGGATATGAGGGTGTTTAAGAGATGATCTATGGCCTACACCTCACGGTCTAGGCCTGTAGAGGTGTCCAACCTTTTGGCATCGCTGGGCAGCACTGGAATAAGAATTGTCTTGGGCCACACATTAAATACACAAACACTAACAAAAACTGAGGAGCAAAAAAAAGGTTTTAAGTAAATTTACAATTTTGTGTTGGGCCAGATTCAGAGCCGTCCTGGGCCGCATGCAGCCCACAGGCTGCGGGTGGGACACCCCGGGTAGGGTGTGGGAGGCAGGTACACACCCAGCAGCATGCAGCCAGTACTGTTTTTGAGGGAGAACAGAGGAGTGAGAGTCAGACTGCCGTCTGGGCTGGGGAGAGGGCAGTCAGATGATTTCACAGAGGTGGTGACATTTGAGCTAGACTTTGAAAAATGAGGAGTTACCCATGTGAAGAAGGAGGTGGGGGCTGGATGGGGGGAGGGGTAGCATTCAGCAGAAGGAGCGGTGGTGCCAATATGTAGCTGTATGTAGGCCAGTGTGATGTGTGGGGGTGCTGAAGGGTGTGGGAAATGTATGTTGGGGTCAGTAGTTCGAAGGAAGCCTTGAATATCACGCTGAGGAGATAAATCTTCGCCTGTAAGCAGCAGGGAACCATTAATAGAGTAGCCTAATAAAGTCAGCAAACACCAAATGCCTACTGTGTGCCTTGTAGTAAGGATGACAGAAGCCTGACTTATGGTCTCTGTCCTCAGTAATGTTAGATTCTGGTTGTGAGAATGAATTAGTAAAGTGAGCGGGGTGCTCCCAACATCGAGCTCAAAGTCTGTAGGACCAGGTGAGCAGAACAGATGCAGCTGAGGGTCAGAAAGACTTACTAGAGGATGTGACACTGGAGCCCAGGCAGTGAAGGAACTCAGGGAGTTGATGTGGAGCCCATTCTAGGTTCAGTGTTAGTAAACCTAGGAGGCTCTTGGAGATGCTTTCAGATTGGAAAACTGAAATCCAAAATGGGGAAACCCAAGCTGATACTTTCTTTCATCTACCACCCAGCCTGTGAGAGGGTGGCATGGCTGGAGTAGGTGGTAAAGCACAGGAGAAAGTGCTGCACCTGTTCTTCTTTGTCCCTGATATCACATAGCTTTTCTTGAGGCTGGTGGTGACCAGGATGTGTCCTTTTAGGTCATATCCAAAGTAATGGAGATGTTCCAGCCCAGTGCGGTGGTTTTACAGTGTGGCTCTGACTCCCTGTCGGGGGATCGGTTAGGTTGCTTCAATCTGACCATCAAAGGTGAGGCCAGGTAGCATGGGGCTGGGTGGGCAGGGTCCTGTTGGGTGCTTTTGTAACCTAGCACTGTCTTCTCCCACCGAAGGGCATGCCAAGTGTGTGGAATTTGTGAAGAGCTTTAACCTACCTATGCTGATGCTGGGAGGAGGTGGCTACACCATTCGTAATGTTGCCCGGTGCTGGACGTATGAAACAGCCGTGGCCCTGGACACAGAGATTCCTAATGGTAATAGTTCCAGGGGCACGTTGGGCTGGGGCTGGAGCTCGCCTGTCCTCAAGTTCACAACTCCTTTCCCATTGGGCATATGATCTCTCCTCTTCCAATACTAGTCATTGATTCTGCTTGTTCTCTTATGATTATCAGACCATAGCCATCATTTTTTCCTGAGTACTTTTTGACTCTGGCCCCTCTCCCTCTTTTGGTGTGAACGACAGAAGTATCAGTAGTTATTTATAGCTTTGGAATTTTTATTCTGTAGGGTAACTGGGGTAGTAAGGAAGTGCTCCCAGTGTGCATTACCTAAATTTTTCTAAACCCCAGGGGCTTGGGCCTTCTCATAGTGAGACCCTCCCCCCCACTGGTGTGGACATTGTAGAATGGCATTAAAAAGGATTGAAGTACTATAGGCACCCTTCTCACCCCATCTGGGAGGCTTTCTTCTCTTTGACAGTTGGGCTAACGGGTCCAGATAAACCTACAAAGGCTTTTCTCGGGGTCCCCTGGTTCGGCCAGGTCTCATAACTGTCTTATTCACTATCCCAATTAGAGCTTCCATACAACGACTACTTTGAATACTTTGGACCAGATTTTAAGCTTCACATCAGTCCTTCCAATATGACTAACCAGAACACGAATGAATACTTGGAGAAAATCAAGTGAGTACATCCCCAGGCAACCCTTGATTGAACATTCCAGGCTGTGGTTTGTCCCTAACTAGAGCCCAGCCACCCTCTCTACCATTGGCCATAGACAGCGACTGTTTGAGAACCTGAGAATGCTGCCCCACGCACCCGGGGTCCAAATGCAGGCGATCCCTGAGGATGCCATTCCAGAGGAGAGTGGTGATGAGGACGAAGAAGACCCTGACAAGCGCATCTCGAGTAAGACCCAGACCCAGGGTCCTGTACTTCCCGCTAAGTAGGCAGCTCTGACTTCCCTCCACTGTTCCTGCTCCCACATTTCTTCCCAAGCTACCCATCTGTTGGGAAACCCAAGTTCCAAGTTCTGGTGCCTGTAGGAACAGTTAGGGAGCCTGAGTTTCCTGCACCCATCTCTTTGTCCCCTTCCCTTGGTGCCTCTTGGAGGACAGGAACAGGGACGCACTGGGCACGGACCCAGAGATAAGAATCTCCTGCTCTCTCCGTGTTTCCCATTGCTTCCCAGTCTGTTCCTCTGACAAACGAATTGCCTGTGAGGAAGAGTTTTCCGACTCTGAGGAGGAGGGGGAAGGTGGTCGGAAGAACTCTTCCAACTTCAAAAAGGCCAAGAGAGTCAAAACAGAGGATGAAAAAGAGAAGGACCCAGAAGAGAAGAAAGGTGGGTTTGGGCTGAGCCAGGACTTGGGTCTTAAGCCTCAGGCCCCGGAGGGTGATGAATCTATGTAGGGCACTGGGAGGAGGGAGCCAACTTGGGCCCTGCTGGCTCCTATGGGGCTCTTCTTCAGCTCCTTGGGCCTTTCAGTTGCGCCCAGAAGTGGCAGGGCTTACAAAAGAATGAAATCCAATTCGACATCTCCACTGGCTTATTGAGCCCTGCCAGGCTCCAGAGCCAGGGACATGCCCGGGCTCCCTGTGGTTAGGAGCGTGGCTCTCACATACCACCCAAGCCCTTTTCCTGGCACTTCACTCCAGTTTCCCAGGGGGCTGCCTCCTCCCACCTGGTTCAGACTCTAGCAGGTTGGGAAACCGGTCAGACCTGTTTGTTCTCACGGGGCTCACTAGGTGGACCTGGGATGGGCTTTTCTCTTTTTTTCTATCCAGTGAGCTGTACTGTGGGGAAGGGGTTTCTGGGTAAGCCAAGATCCCATGGGTCTTTCCAGAGGGGCTGTCCTTGACTATCGTGCACTTTTATGTTCCAGAAGTCACAGAGGAAGAGAGAACCAAGGAGGACAAGCAAGAAGCCAAAGGGTGAGGAAGGAGCTGTCGGCCATCTCCCTGGCATTGGTGCACCAGCCCCTTTGTCCCACTACACTGAGAGGGAAGGCGCAGGGACAGCTGGTTTAGCTTACAAAGGCCTCTTTCAGGGACCAGTCTGCCTCTGCAGTTCTAGGCAGAGCTAGGAAGCCCCGGGTCCTCAGCAGTCACCTGAGCAGCTGGGGTCCTGTGAAAGTCATTGTACCTGCACTTTTGCTTCAAGGCCTCTGGAGTGGGTTATCTCATACCAGTCTCTTTCCACAGGGTCAAAGAGGAGGTCAAGTTGGCCTGAGCAGATCTCTCCAGTTTTGACTTCTTGCAAAGTCTCCCACCTTTCTCCTGCAACCCCTCAGATTTTATATTTTCTATTTCTGTGTATTTATATAAAAATATATTAAATATAAATATCCCCAGGGACCTGACAGGAACCAGGGCCCCAAGCACAGGGCACATGTGCTGAGTGAGTTCTTCTAATAGCTGCCTTACCAGCTCTCCCCAGTTCTTAATTTTGAACCATAAAGGGTGCTGGTTCTGGATGGAAGGGATCGTTCTCTTAAACATCCATAGGACAAAATTCCTGAAATGCCAAATTTCCGCTTAGTAGCTTTGGAAAGATGCCTTTTATTGAGCATTTTAGAAAGGGTGGCTGGGTCTTCTGGGACTCCCTGTTCTTTACAGGCTCCTGAAGGTGACATCAGCCATCTTTAGGTTGGCTATGTTCTCACAACTTCTCCACTTGCCCCAGGTGAGCCAAGAAATTCACACTGCCTGACCTGTGGTCCCCTCCCTCCCCGGTTCTGCAGGTGGAGATAGGCAGTTTCATTTTTGAGATATTTTCTTTTTGTGTGTGTGAGTCTTTGTAATAAAATGGTACATTTCTATACCGTTCTGAGCTCATCTAGCAGTATTCCTGGGCTGATTTTGTCTCCACTCCCCTGCCCTCTGGGGTCCACAAGGGTATGGGCAACCCCCAACAACACAACACCAACTCACCTTTCTTCATATCCCTTCCTCAGGTTTGAAGTTAACCAGTCTTGTCACCCTTCCCCCAGAAGAGATCACTCATTAAAAAGCACCACTAAAGGGACAACATTTATTCCTTTTCCAAATGTTACAGTAAAACCAGGTGGAAGAAAATGGTTTTAGAAGTTAGAAAAAAAAAAGTACAAATCTGGGGTTTGGCCATTAAAAGTTATTTACAACAATGGGAGGGGGGAAAAGACAACAAGAAGTTGTTTCACATTACAGACCTTCCCCCACCCCAGAGCCTAATACTTGCTTACCAAGTCAAAAAAGACAAAGCTGATTCACAAGCTGGAGGTTTGAACTTGAGTAAGACAAATATAAAAACCTAGACAGGGGCAGTGTCCTCCCCTAGCCCAGGTGCCACTTAGGCACAGCACAAGAGACTAAACTCAACAGGGGGAAGGCTGGACACAGGCACCCCACATCTGGCTCAGGGATTTGGGGAGTAAACAAAACCTACTTGGAAAAGAATTGGGAAAAACCAGCAATTGCCTTCTGCAGGGATGGGGACAGGAAAAGAGGTGGGGCCAAGGACAGGAGCATTTCACGTCACTAACCTAACTTGGGGAAACAGGGAAGGGACCATCTTCAACTGGCCTTGAGAGGAAGACCAGGTGGATGATGGGAGAATCCACAGGAGGGAAGGAAAGGAGGAAAGGGATCGATCGTGGCTGGGAGGGGGCAACAGCCCCTTCCTTTCTGGGCACAGGAAGGCAGCCAGGGCACCAGGTCCAGGCAGTGACCTCACAAGGACAGCACAGTTTTTGCAGCTTAGAGATCACCCACCTGCCCCCACCCAGCTACTCATTCTGCTCGCTGGCAGGTGTTGGGCCACTCTCTGGCCCGGAGGGAGTGGACAGCTCTGCAGCCTGGGGCCCTGCCTCCTCTTCTGTGTCTCCTGCCTTGGAGGCAGTGCTAGCCTCTGCCCCCTTGGCCTGGGATTCCTGGCTCTCGGGGATGGCAGCAGCCTTCCCTTCCTGGGCAGTGCCTTCCTCGCTGCAGGCACCGATCTCCCCCTGCTCCTGCTCTTCCTCTGTGGGTGAGGAAGCAGACGATTCACCCCCACCCTCCTTCCGATTTCTCTTGAAGGACAGGCCGCTCAATTTGAAAGGCTTCTTGAAAGAGAATTTCTTCTTCTTCTTGGGGGTCTCCTTGGGGGGTACATCCCCCTTGGCTTCAGCTCCCTGGCTTGGGGGTGCTGGCTCAATGGTATCACCAGTGGCCCCAGTTGCCTCCTCCGTTCCGTTCACAGGGGGCGACTCCCCTTCACCCTTGGGGGATAAGTCTCCATTGCTTTTCACGTGGCCATTCTCCTGCGGGGCAGAGGAGACAGCAGTAAGGGTCAGGACTCTACACCCCCCCCCCCCAGCCTGCCTCTGACCTCTTCCAGACAATGAAGACCCGATTCATTCTACTGCATCCGAGTCTGATTGTAGCCTCACCCCAAACCCGGGATCCCGTCAAACATCTATCTCCCTCCTCCTGCCCTTCCAGGGGCGCTTGGGCCAAGAACCGAGGCCGTGGCCAGCAGGAGGCGCTGGGGTCCCGTGGCCCCCCACCCACCTCCCCCGGGGCGCGCTCTCCATTCCGCGCAGACCCACAGGCGGCCGCGGAGCCCCGGGAAGGCGGGTGAGCCCTGCCAGCCGAGATTGGGCGGGAAGCCGCCCCGGGGCGCTGTTCTCCGCACCTGGACGGCCTATTTCTCCGGCTTCCTTGCTTTGTGTAAACGGCCCCCCACTCACCGCAGGCTCTCCCCACATCTCGGCTACCCCTTGAAAAAAAGGCCGTTGGCCACCGAGGTCGGAGATGCGGGTGGAGTGCTCAGAGGGGAGGGCACCCGCCCCGCGGCCCCTGGGCGCCCCCTTGGCGCGGCCCTTTGTTCCCCGCGCGGCACTCGGGGCGGCCGGGGGGCAGCGCCGGGGGCCAGGGCGGCGAACAAAGAAGGCGGCGGGGCCCGGCCGGCGCCCCCTCCCCGCCCCTCCCCTCGCTTCACCCGCGGGGGCTGCGGCGCCGAGAACAAAGGGACCGGGCGGGGGAGGGGGTTGCCGCGTGTCCCGGGCCGGACAAAGCGCGCGGCCCCGGCCCAGGGCCCCAGAGGGGGCAAGGTACTCGAAGAGGGGGCCAGGGCGGGCCATGCCCAGCGCACCCACCTGTCCGTTGGCCTTAGTCGGGGAAGCGCCTGCTGCCTCCTCGGCGGTCACGTCGCCCCGGGGAGCCTTGGAGCTCTGGCTGCCCATGATGGGGGGTCTGCTGGGGGGCGCCCGGAGCCACCCCGGGCTCGCGCCGCAGGGGGTGGTTCGGCGGGGTCGGCCTGGCGGGCGAAGGGGTGGGGCTCGCGCCTGAGGGGGAGGGGTATCGGGGGAAATCAAGCTGCACCCCCCTCTTCGTGCCCGACCCAACAACTGCACCAGTCGCCGATCTGCTCCGCGCCAGAATGCCGCCCGCCGCCCGCCGAGCCGCCTTTATATGAGCGCCCGGAGCTTGGGGCGGGGCCGGGCATTTAAATGAGCGCCCAATCGAGGGGCGGAGGCGGGCTCTGGTCGCGCGCCCCACTTGTGCAGTGGGCGACGCCAGCGGTCTGGTCCCCCACAGCCCACAGGGCAGGTGGGGTCTTGTGTGGGAAGGGGAGAGGAGAGTTCTTCGGCGAGCGGGGCAGAGGAATGCTCCTAGGGATAAGGGGAGAGAGAAATCATTTCCTCCTCCCACCGCCCACCTCTCAGCGAGCGGCCCCAGCATCTGGCGTGCCCCCCCCCCGCCCCCATTACCTTAGTCCTGCTCTGGCAGTCCCTGACAGTCTCCCTCTAGAACTCTTGGAAGGGTGACGCATCCGACGGCTAGTCCTGAGTTATGCTCCAGAGAATGTGGTCATCAAAGATGCAGGGCCCCTGGCTAGGGTCTGCTCTCCCTCCGAGCCGCAGCAGGTCAGAGGTCTCACCCACTTCCCTGCTGGACCCCCCCCCCCCCCCCCGGGTCTGACCCTCTGCGGCATCACTCTGGTCAGACTGGCGAGGCCCATTCCTCATCCACCCGCTCGGTCCCTGGCGGCCAGTTATGCTGAGCCAGCACAGACGAGCTCACCTTTGGTCCCTCATGCCCTCAGACTGGATCCCAGTTCAAGTGGTCCCGGGGACTCTAGAAGGGCATCTTCATCTCCATTTGAAAGCTGAGAAGCCCGGGACTCAGAGAGGTTAACACAGTATGTCTGACTGGCTGTTGCTCTCCTCCCACATCTGCTCCCCCACCTCAGAACTCACCAACCCACCAACCAGGCAGAGAAACCCCGAGAGGGGGACTGAGAAACCTGAAAACAGTCCAGTTCTTGAGGAGGAGGAGGGGTAGGACATCACCAAGGCCCCCTTCACTCCTGGACAGGCTACGGGAGCCCCAGAGTCGCGGCTGGCCCCACGATGTGTGTGTGCGTCCAGCTGCCTGGGGCGAAGGGGCTGTTTGTCAGGATGAACATACGGGAGGAAGGGGATGGGGACTGGAGGAAGCAGTGTTGCAAAAGCAAGGCTGTGTCCTGGACAGCCTGCTCAGCAATGGTGTCCATCTCCCCTTCAACCTACAATGGGTAGGGGCTTCTGGGAGGACTGAGGCGGTCAGCTGTGGAGATACTACCCCCCACCCTGGCCTGAGAGGTCAGAAACTCCCACAGGTCTGACTGCAGCGGAGTTTGTGGGAGGGGCAGGCCCAGGTGGCTTCTATATTCAGCACTCACTCGTATACCCTCCATATCCCTCCACACTCTGAGACCACAGAAGACTCTTAGCTCCATTCCTCCTGTTTTACAGACTGGGATGCTGAGGTTCAAAAAAGGAAAGTGACATGTCCAAAGGCATACAGCAGATACCAGTGGCTGAGGGAGAGAAAGAGTGGAGAGATCGGCTAAAATGGGCTGCGGACACTAAGGAATTCTCTGTTGAGATCTGAGGCTGCTTGGACAGTGTGGGAGGCAAGAGGAGCGAGCTTTGGGACAGGGAGGGCACCATGCCCCACTGCAGCAACTAGGATATGACGGTGACTTCTCCACCCACTGCCACTAAGGGACGGACGTTGTGACCTGCATCTCTGTCTTGGCCACAATAGGGAACCCACAATGCTGCCAGGCACTGCCCGCCCCCGGTTGGTAGGGCTTAGAAGGAGGGTGAGTGAGTTCGGAGGGGTTTGGGTCAAAGGTTAAGAGCGGATACCAAGGCTCCTACCAAGGCTCCTGATTTCCAGGCACTGCCCTAGGGGAATGAGGGGCAAATTGCTTGGATAATCCCAGAAGGAGGGAGGAGCACCAGGGATAAAGGATCCAAGTCCCCAGAGCCTCTGAAGAAACCTGGTCCACAGAGGAACCCCTACACACGCACCACACATTCCTGGAGGCTGGGGGCGGGGGCTTCCTCGGAGCCCAACCCCTCAGAAAATCCAGGTCCAGCAGAATCTGGCTTCTGGAAGAGGGAAGAGGTTTAGAGGATGCTGCGGGGGTGAAGGGGGTTGGGGCACGGCAGCCCCTACTGCCTCCTCTGTCCACACTGCTGCTCCTTCCTCCCCAGCTGCTGCAAGCCCAGACAATGTGCCCATTGTTCTGCGTCTCTGGGGGCCTGTGTGCAACTGTGTGTGTCTGTTTTTCTCTGTGTGTGACTGTGTATTGCTCTGCATCTGTCTGTGTGTGAGAGACTTTGTGGCTGTGTGTGTGTGTGTGTGTGTGTGTGTGTGTGTGACCAGGTGTGTAGAGTTGTGGTTGTGTGAGCCTCCATCTTTGTGTGTGTTTAGGGTGAGAGAAACTCGGTACTCTCGGTGACTCTGAGACTTTCTGGGCGTGTGCTTGTTCGTCCTTGAGCTTGTGTCATGGTGACTATTGTCTGACTGTGTTTGGGTGTATAACTGAGTGTGAGAGGCTGGGCGAGAGTATGTCTATGAATGTGTGGACAAAAGAGTGAGTATTTTCTGTGTGCCTCAGTGGCGGTCGGAACCTTTGAGGTGTGAGCTTTGGCCAGGAGGAGTGGCAGGGGAAGGGGGGATGGGAAGTGGGGTGATGTGGGATGGACAGGTGGAAGGGAAACTGCAAGTCTTCATACACCCCCACCTGTCCCCAGCTCTCCCATGGGGCTCAGACCTCGACCCCGGCTCCGGCATGAGATGCTCCTAGCTCCCATGGACAGAAAGGCATGAACTTCCTTGGCAGGAAGACTTGGACCTCAGAGAGACACAGGGTGGGGCTGCAGGTAGAGGAGGGCAACAGAGGGTGTTGTCCCATAGAGGTTGGGGGAGTATTTGGGGATCTCTGGTGGGGTGGGGATCAGAGCAGACGCCAGGCGAAGTATGAGTGGGCGCTATCTAGTCAGAGCTGGAGGTGGTCCTTCCCAGAATCAGGAAAGGCCTGGAGATGGGGAAGAGACATCAGTGAACCACTAGGTGCTAACGGAGGCCTCAGGAATGGTGACTTGGCACAGCCCAGTTCCCAGCCTCGGGGTCCCTATCTTCTTCCAAGACCATTAACTGGACCCGGAGACCTTAGTCCTAGCCCAGGTCTGCTGCCTTTTCCAGCTCCGTGAGTGCGGGCCGGTCCCCTCCCCTGCTGGGTCTCGGTTGCTCATCTGTACAGTGAGAGGTTGGCCTCTGTGATCCAAAGCCACCAAAACTGGCCTGCAGTTCCTCCCGCTCTCACAAGGCAGGGTGTCGTCTGTGAGTCACACGAGGCCCTGCTCTCAGGGGTTTCCCGCTGAGGGAACAAACCGGTAGCACCTACAGGGAGAAGAAAGACCAGACCTGGATGGGACGAGGGCTCCGTGGGCTGCACGAAGAGGGGTCATGTGGGTGGGCCAGGGGACAGAGGAAGAACTCAGGACAAAGAGGCCACAGCAAGTGGTTTGCGTGAGGGAAGGGATGGAGGGAGACGCCTAGTCCGAGCGCGGTTTCGGAGACAGGCTGCCCAGGACCCCGAGACTGGCTGGGTACAGGGGTTGAGAAGGGAGAAGGCAGTGATGGAATTGTCGCCCACCTGTCTGTTCGGCGGGACAGTTAGCAAAGTGAATCCACTGAGACAGGGCATGGGGGGGGAAGAATCGGGAGGGAGTTGCTGGAACTTATTAAGTTTGAGGGAACATTTCCGGGGGATGACCAAGAAGGCAGCCTGAAGTTTAAACGCTTTAGCACATAGACATGGGATTACAAAGGCCCAACCTGGCTCTCGGCCTCACAGGGACAGCACACAAAAGGCTGGAAGTCAGAACTGACCCCACAAAGTCTGGGCCTCTGGTCACTGCTTATAACTGGAGCCTCGCAGTACATGAGGTCACCCAGGAAGCACCGGGCAATGGGGGGCGCTGCCGTTAGAGGGCCAGGCAGCAGGAGTGGACCCCAGGAAGGAACCTGAGAGGGAGCCAGCAAAGAAGGGGACGGAAGCCCCCTAGTGCAGAACCATGGAGACCCTGGACGACTGGGGAGATTTTGAACAGGACAAGAATGACCAGTAACAGTCATTATAATCACAGCTGCCAGCACTGATTACGTGCTGCTTCCCATACATTTCCTCCAGCTGGTGAGACGTGTACCATCTCTGTTCCCATTTACAGAGGAGGAAACTGAAACCCAGAGGCAGGGAGTTTATGTGAGCTGAAGGGGAGGAAGTCAGGACTAGTGCAAACTGGTTTTCAGGAGCATGGCGGTGCTGGGGTCAGTGGGAGGCATCCACAAAGGGTTCTGATGCCTCAGGTGTGGAAGAAGTAGGCAGAGATGCCGGCAGGAGAGGCAAGGCCGTCACAGCGCTGAGGGCCCAGCACCCTGGGTGTGCCGGCTTCTGACACTGCAGTCAGCAGGACCCAGGCCTGCAGCCTCCCTGACAATCACTGCCCTTGAACCTGGGTCTGGACACGAAGGCACTTTAGGGGCCTTTCTTTGGAACCCACCGTCCAACCCGTCACCAAATTAACGGTCAGGGATTCTGAAAGTTCCACTTCAGACTGTAGGCTGCCAAGAACTTTTATTTCTCCTTTCCCCTCCCTCTTCCCCTGGACTCTGTGTGTGAGTGCACATGTGTGTGAGTGGCCGGGGGAGGGTGGCTGCGTGCACTGGACAGGGCCCAGCCACTATCCAATAGAGCCGTTTCTCTGGCTCAGTTTCCCCGGCAGCCAAGAGGTGTGTAAGGCCAGCCAGCCTGCCTGTCTCCCCCAGCCTTGATGAAGTCATCAGAAATTCAACCCAGTTCTTCAGGACTGCCCTGGACGGCTGGCTCCCTTCCACCTTCCCTCCCTTCTTCCCAACTTTCAGTTTCTTTTCAGATCCTGCTGTCTTTGGGGAAGAGGTGGAATGTGGACTGCTTACAACTTTCCAGCCAAAATCCCCATTTAGGGGAAGTCCCTTTAAAAGGGAAATTGAAATTCTCTCCTAGCCCAGATCCCAGTCCCACCCCTTCCTCCCCACACCGCTCACCACCTC